CAAAGCAAACGGTCTGTACTTTCCAAAAATGTCAATGTCATGAAGGACAAAGAATGACTGAGGAATCGTTCCAGAATAAACACCAAAGAGACACGACAACTGAGTACAATATATGATTCTGGCTTGTATCCTGCATCAGAAAAACAATTGCTAGAATAGAAATTCCTGAGGCAACCAGTGAAATTGGAATATGGGTTGGTGCATTAAATAACAGTACACGTTGATATGGAATTTCCTAAATCATCATAATGAGGTTATATAAGGGAATGTTCTGGCTCTTAGGAGCTACACATGTAAATATTTAGGGATGAAGAATCACACTGCAGCATGTTCTGTTAGGAGCTGGGACACAGAGTTCTGCCTCCCCCAGCCCCCATCCAAGGAAAAATTGTCTTCTGTGGAGAAACTGTCTTCTCTGACTTAGGATCCCGGTGCACAGCAGGAGGTGAGTGGAGGGCTGTAGAGTGAAGCAGCTTCATCTGTATTGACAGCTGCCAGCTGCTCCCCAGTGCTGGCAATCTCCACCTGAGCTCCCTACACACACCCCACCCCTACCTCTGGGGGAAAATTTGTGGAAAGTTTGTCTTCCATGAAACCTGTCCATAGTGCCAAATAGGTTGGGGACCACTGATTTAAAGCATTTCGTAACATGCTAGGAAAAGGGGTATTATGTGACTCTGCAAAAGTAATGAAATCTTAGATCAAAAATCTGACACTATGTTATTAACTTTTAAGGGTGTAATAAGCAAACTTTTTCTTTTCTTGCAGGAGTATCCAACCTTTTTTTTTCCTGCCCCACATTGGAAGAAGAAGAGTTGTCTTGGGCTACACATTCAATACACGAACACTATCAGAAAGTTGATTAGCAAAAAAAAGTCTGTGAATATTTTTAGTGATATCTGACCCCAGAGATAAGCAAAAAATGTCCTCATAAAATCATCAGCTGCCCAAGGGCTGCAGATTGGACACCCCTGTTTAGCAAAGCTTTCTACATCATCTCCTCTTAGCAAGGAGAGGTTCAAGCAGGCAGAGACAGGAAAGATTAATCTGATTTCCCTTGCTTTCAGTTTCTGAGAATTGCTTGTTGCCATGGTAATTACTTTACTGTATACTCTTGTATAAGCAGGATTTGAAAACAGTAAGTATCAAAACATATTAAAGAGCTTTAGGTTTGGATAATTTTCAGCATTTTTCTCTTTTGCTTTCAAATATTAGCCTGGTTAATGATGCACTGTGTGGCAAGAACAATATAAATGCAAATCAACTGAAAGCTAATTGTTGCTAAACTTCCATAACTATTCAACCAGTGCCAATATAGGAAATGGATCTTAGAGAGAACTTTCTAAGTTGGAACATCTGTAGTAGGGGGTCAGCAAACCAAAAAGCCCAGAAGTCAAATCTGATCTACCACCTGTTTCTGAATTTCCTAAAAGCTAAAGAATTGTTTTTATACCTTTAAATGGCTGAAAATAAAAAGAAAAATAATATTTTGTGATACCTGAAAATCATACCCCTAAATAATGTTTTATTGAAGCATAATCATGCACATTTACTCATATATTATCTACGGCTGCTTTGTGTGTTACAGTAGCAGAATTGAGTAAATGTGCCAGAAACTGTACGTCCTGCAGAGCCTAACATATTTACTATCTAGACTTTTACAGAGAAAGTTTACCAACCTCTGATCTAGAGATGTGGTATGTACAGGAGAAGTTAAGACTAGGAGAGACTAGGTGTCTCTTCTTTACCAAGCAGTCTGTAACAGGAAGCTTTGATGGAGATTCAGGCCTTTCCGGCTGAGCTTTTCCTTGTTCCATTCACCAGTAGATATAGGAAAGTACAGCTGTATCTTAGTGGAGAACAAGTGGAACTGCATCTGCTATGGGTTGGATGTTTGTATCCCCTTCAGAATTCATGTTGAAACAATTCCCAATGAAAAGGTATTATGAGGTAGGGCATTTTAGGAAGTGACTAGGCATTCATGGATGGGATGAGTGAACTTGTAAAAGGGCTGGACGGAACCATCTAGGCCCTTGGTCTTCTGGCACTTCTGCCATGTGAGTACACAACATTCAAAGTGCCATCTTGGAAGCAGACTGGAGCCTCACCAGACACCAAACCTTCTCCCACCTTGATTTGGACTTCTCAGCCTCTATAATTGTGAGCAATACATTTATACTACTTATAACTTACCCAGTCTCAGACACTTTGTTAGAGCAGCATGAAGGGACTAAGACTGTGTCCTAACAAAAAGTAGGGTGTTGCTATAACAAATACCTAAAAATGTGGGAGGAGCTCTGGAATGAGTTAATGGATAAAAGCTAGACTGTACAGAGCTATTCTGGTAAGGGTTCAAAAGAAGGAGAGAGCTGCAGAGAAAGCCTCAGTCTTCGTAGAGATTACCTAAGTGGTCACGAACAGAATGTTGGCATAAATATAAATATGATATGGTCTCAGATAGAAATATGTTATTGGAAATTGGAGGAAAGGGCATCCTTCTTGTGAAGTGGCAAAGACCTTGGGTGAACTGTATTTGTGTCCTTGTGGAAGGCAGAAAATGCCTAATGAATTCTTCTTATTTGGTGGAAAAGATCTCTATGCAAAGTGTTGAGAGTACTACATGGTTTCTCTTGACTGCTTATAATAAAATGCAAGAAGAAATAAATGAATTAAAAACAAATAATAATCAAAAGGGAGGCAGTACTTAAAGATCTATAAAACTGTCAGCCTGCCCATCTGAAAAATAAAAAAGCACATTTGGGAGAAAGTCAAGGATGTAGCCAAATGAATGCTTTAAAGGAGATTAGCATGGGATGAAGAAATCCAGAGGCTATTCATCAAATAATGGAAGAATGACCCCCACAGGTATTTTAGAGATTTTTGAGGCTGCTGCTTCCATTATAGGACCAGAGTACCAGGACCTTGAGAATAGAATGGCTTCAAAAGAGAGGCCCAGGGAGCCCATGGGATCTTGGGGTTTGCTGCCCAGCAGCACCTCAAGTTTCTGCTCCATGCATTTCTGTGCAGAGCTCCTTGCCTGCTCCCACTGTGGCTCAAGGGGCCTGGGTGTGGCTAGAGCTGCCACACCAGAAGGCATAAGTGGTGAGCTTTGGCAGCATCTGCACAGGGCCAACTCTGTAGGCACACGGGGGCAAGAGTTGTGGAGACATGCCGACTCCCACCTAGATTTTAAGGGATGTCTTAGGGAGCCTTGTGGCCCAAGAAGAGAACTGCCACAGAGCCAGGACTACCACGTAGAGTCCCCACAAAGATAATGCTTAATGGAGCTGCGAGAGCAGGGCTATTCTCAAGACCCCAGAACTGTAAAACTGCCAGCATACAACTCCAGACTTGGAGAGTCACAGGTACAAGACTAACCCATGAGAGCTGTGCTGTGGGCTGTGCCCAACAAAGCTCTGGAGGTGGCGTTGCCCAGAGCCTTGGGGACCCCCTCCCACCCAACACTTCCAGTGTGTCTGGAAGACAGAACATGGAGTTAAATAAAATTATTCTCAAGCCTTGAGATTTCAAGTCATTTGCCTTGTTGTGTTTTGGACTTCCCTAGGACCAGCGATCCCTTTCTTCTTTCCAATTTCTTATTGGAAGGGGCATATCTATCCTATGACTGCTCCACTATGTGTTTCGGAAGCACATAACAGCCTTTGATTTCACAGGTCACAGGTGGAGGGAGAATCTGCTTCAGAATGAAGCACACCTTTGACTCACCTATATATAATTTAGACAATGTTTAGATGAGACTTTGGACTTTAGACTTTTGAGTTGATGCTGGAACTAGTTAAAAGACTTTTAGGGCTATTGGGATGGAATGAATGTATTTTACTTATTTTGTATATGAGAAGGACATGAACTTTGCAAGGCCAAGGGAGAATGCTATGGTTCAAATGTATATGTCCCTTCAAAATTTATATATTGAAACTTAATCTCCAAAACAATAGCATTTAGAGGTGGGGCCTTTAGGAGGTTGTCTTGGTCCATTTTTACTCTGTTTTGAAAGAATTCCATAGACTGGATGATTTATCAAGAAATAAGACTTATTTGGCTCATGTTTCTAGATTCTGGGAAAGTCCAAAAATACGGAGCGGGCATCTGGTGAGGCCTTAATGCTACATTATCCCATGGTGGAAGGGCAGAGGGCATTACCTGGTGAGCGAGCACACAAGACAGAGAGAAAGTGGGGGCCAAACTTACCCTTTTATCAGGAGATGGCAACTTAATCCATTCATGAGAGCTGGAGCTTTATGGCATAATCACTTTTTTTTTTTTTTTTTTTGAGACAAGAGTCTCAGCTGTCACCCTAGGTAGAGTGTCATGGTGTCATAGCTCACAACAACCTCAAACTCTTGGGCTTAAGCAATTCTCTTGCCTCCCAAGTAGCTGGGATTATAGGTGCCCACCATAATGCCTGGCTATTTTTTGGTTGTAGTTGTCATTGTTGCTTGGCAGGCCTGGGCTAGATTCAAACATGCCAGCTCTGGCTGGTGCCCTAGCTGCTGAGCTACAGATCCCAAGCTGCCTAATCCCTTCTTAAAGGCCCAACTTCTTGATACAGTTAAAATGGCAATTAAGTTTCTAACACATGAATTTTGGGGTACATGTTCAAGCCATAGCAGAGGTGAGTAGGTCACGGGGGCTCCTTCTTCTGAAATGGAATGAAGGTGCTTAGAAAAGAGGCTTCACATAGTGTTCAGCCTTTTTTGCCCTCCTACTTTCCACTATGTGAGGACAAAGTAACAAGGTGCTATCTCAGAAGCAGAAAGCAGCCCTCACCAGACACAGAAACTGCCAATTCCTTGATCTTGGACTTCCTAGCCTCCAGAACTATGAGAAATACATCTAAGCTTTTTATAAATTACCCCACTCCAGGTATTTTGTTCTAGGAGCACAAATGGACTGCGATAGCTTCACGTGATTGGACCACCCACTTGGTCACTACTTTCCAACACTGCACCCTCCCACGAGTCAAGCAGCACATTACTTACTCCTTGATGCGTTTCATCTTGGTCCCAGCTACTGCGCTGTTGAAAACTGATGGTCCTGGAGACATGTCTGTAGCTGCACTGGCAATGGTCCTTGTGTCTGAAAATCAATGCACAGCCCTTACTGACTTCATCAGCACTCCTGCAACCTCAGGCAATGTCCAAGGGCAATCAGAAAACAGAAGCTAAGCCACATTTGCCACATGGTAATGCTACGTTAATTAGAGATGAATTCAATTATAGCATGCACATTAAGGAGATTTATTCCAAATGACAAGATTATTTACAGTTTTAGTATGCATAAGGAATTCCAGGACTAAGCCTCTCTCAAAAACGATTGTTTAAAAAATCATCATTATTTAAAGATGAACTGTTTGTACCAGAAAACTCAGGGGGATATGTATCTGCAGAAAAGTAAATGTGCTTGAGGAGCTTTTTGGCCATTCCCATCCAGCAGGTGTGGATATTTGTTTAAATAACTAGAAATTTTTCTAATAAGCTTAGATTTCCCTTTATCTTAATCTCACACCTGAGCATTAGCTTTTTGCAATGGAAAGCAGAATGCTGACCAGGGGTCATATCTGCAGCTTTAAAGTGCAGAAGAATAGAGCAGAAGGCCAAAGTTGGGTTCAGAAGGTAAAGAGCTGTAAGGAAAGCTGTGGTGTTATGAAATCTGTTGAGAGAGCCACGATTTTTACTGAAATATCCTGGACGCCTTCGTAAAACATGTTGAAACTGAAGGGAAAGAAATAGTTTATCAACTGAACAACACCACTTCCTATTAAGAAGCTAAAATTGGCCCATCAGTGAGAGTTCAGAGTAATCCATAGAGCTGGATTTACAACTTGGCCCTTGGAGGCCTTTTTTTCCTTGTGTATTTCCTTGGATCTCCCACCAAGTACCTCACATCCATCAGTAAAAAACTTAGCCCACTCTAATATTCATTTATATATTATATCCACATCTTTGCTATGTCAGAGAGAAGGGACTCATGGTATGAAATTCTTGGTCTTTTCCCAGTGGATTTCATATAACATGTGACTGTCTAACTTAGGGACCATCCAAAGAAGAGAGGTCTAATCCCCTTTTATTACTATAGTTTTATTTCTTATTTTGTATTTCTTTTAAGTTTGAAAAATCAAATGCAAATTCTAATATTTTTCATGTGCATTATTCTTTTGCACTACTCATTAGAGTATATGCATCCCACTTTGAACTTCTTGCTCTTATAGATACTATTGAGATAAAAATTCTCCTGCTCAACTCTTTGCAAAAATCTCTTTGTCTTTCCTAAGGCCTATATCCCTAGTTATGGAATTACTGGATCAACAGGTATAATACAAACTTTGTAAAGGGCACAGTACAAATAAACAAACTGTCGTTCTTGGTACATCACAATTGTGCCTCCATGTCAAAGATACAAGTACCAGTGACCAATTCCTCTCACTCCTGGAGGTGAGACTTCCACACCTTGGAGAAAAAAATTGCCTCAGGCCTCACTACCATTGGACACCAGCTTTACATCGGTGCCCATTTTCCCACCAGCTATGACTAAGCCAGCTACTTTTCCTCAGGGACGGCTTGAGGAGTGGACAGGAGGAAGGCACAGGGCTTCAATTCATATTCATGTTGGTTGCTTTTTACAATCACCTTGCCCAGCACCTAAAAAGTTACTAAAAAAACCCCACCATTTATGCCAAGTAACCCACATGTGACCTCAAAATCAGTTTTGCCAAGAACAAAATGTAGATGCTCCTTTCCAGTTTTTTCTAGAGAGAGAGCTGGAAAGTCCCAAAGACAAATAAAGGTCGAAGCAATTTCCAGGGGAGCTGTAATTTATTTGAAGCTGGCCCCTGTTTCCCTCAACAATGCTCAGCATTGCCAGGAAAGATGCTAAGCCTTGAGCCCAGGGGTAGAGAACAGGGCAAATGTAATTACAAGCAACAGGGTTGGCAAAGCTTGGTGCTCACAGCAATTCCATTTTTAGTATTTCTTATTGGTCAACATTTTTTCTCTCTCTGTCCAACCTTCCAACATAAACACTGGTTGCTTTATGTAAAAAAAAAAAAGAAAAATTAACAATCATGATAAAAACAATTGGGACTAGAATCATAGACATCATCTAATAGGTCACTGAATCCCAGAGCCCAGAGTGTTTTCATCCATTGCTTCTCAAACTTTAATGTGATAGAAATTATCCAGAGATCCTGGTAAAATGCAGATTCTGTTTTAGTAGGTCTGTGTAGGGCCTCAGAGTCTGCATTTCTAATCAGTTCCCAGGTGATACCAATGCTGCTGGTCGGGGACCATGCTTTGAGCAGTAAGGCTCTAGACAGGCCAGCTACATAATTTTTAGGGGCCCAGTGCTAAATGTCAACATAAAAACCCTGTTCAAGTGAAAGGTTGTTTTCTTCTGCACTCTGTCTGGACCTGTCATGGTGTTTTTTTATTATGAATTTAGTGTCGCTTTCCCTCTGGAATTACGATGGATACTCTTAAGGGGAGTAAATACACTCATGAGGACTTGGAGGATCCTACTTGACCCCAACCTTTCTCCACTGGAGATGAAGGGTGGTAGTGGTCACAGGGTGGAGGCTGAGAATGGGTGACAAGGATGAGGCTGGAGGCATCAGCAAGGGTTTAAGCCCCAGGCATGTGTTCTATTGTCCCATCAGATTTCACTCATAGAACACAAGTTTAAAGATAAATTTCATTAAACCCCAAATGTAAGACTCCCTGAACTTGGGGTCCTGTGTCACTATACTGATCACATGCCTGTGAAGGCCTGGTTCCAGAGCTGTGCTTTCTTAAACGTTGTGTTCAAATATAAATGAATCCTTAATCTACACATTGAGTTTTTAAAATTAATTTTCCCTTTATTAAAATTAATTAACAAACCAAATCTATCAACATAAAAAAGGATTGTATACCTTGTCCCCTAAGATCAGGAATAAAACAAGAATGTCTTCTCTTGCCATGCCTCTTTAACTTTGTACTAGAGATTACAGACAGAGAAACTAGGTAAGAAAAATAAATAAAAAGGGGCTGGCATTTTCCCTTTCTTTCTCTGGGATGCCACACAATTTTCTCTCCCCCCTACATCTTCCCTTCTCTCACTCCCTGCTCTCCGCTCTCTTTCTCATCTCTGCCCCCCACTCTCTTCCCTTTTTCTAATATAAGCTTATACTTTTATATTCTAAAAATAAATAGGAATCAGATTGAAAAGAAGTAAAATTATCTCTATTTGTAGATAATATGATTTTATACATAGGAAATCCTAAAATAGGTCTATTCAGATTTTTTATTTCTTCTTGAGTCAGTTCAGTAATTTTCTTTTTTTTCTAGAAATTTTTCCGTTTCATATAAGTTATTTGATTTACTGGTATACTACTGTTCATAGCATACCATTATAATACTTTTTATATCTTTAAGGTTGGTAAAATGTCCCTTCTTTCTTTCTTAATTTATTAATTTCTTGGTGAACATAGCTAAAGTTAGCCAGATTTGTCAATCTTTTTAAAGAACAAATGTTTTGCTTCATTAATGTCTTCTATTATTTTTCTAGCCTTTATTTCATTTATTTCTATTCTAGTATGTATTGTTTCCTCCATTCGACTTGCTTGGGGTTTAATTTGTTCGCCTTCTTCTATTTCCTTAAAGCTTGTATTTTATATCCTCAATTGTGGGAGTGAAGACCAAAGGCAATGTAAATAGTAGCTGTCATCCTTAACCCATAAAAAGCTTGTAGCCAATCAAAAAAGATGCTGAGTATGTATAATAAGACACTAGGCTGCATATAGGCACAAGAAGAGGCCTGCTGAGGTCTGTGAAAAGGAATGGCCTTCAAGTAAGATGACCAGAGTTTTAGTTCTATGCTCAGGCCTCCTCCCTGGGCCTCAGTTTTCACATTTTATAACTAAGTGGTTTCATTAGGCTGAGGACCTTCGCTCAATTCTAACTTTCTATGATCTACAGTGAGACTAGAGCAGGACACAGAGCTTCCTTGGGAAGACAAATACCTTTACTAACAAAGATAAAGAGCAGTCACAGCAACCAAACACTTAAGAAACAAATGGCTGCGACTAAGAATGAATGTTACAAGCATTACATAAGTCAGGCGAAATCATCCTGAAGTTTCCTTTCTCACCTGTGAAATATAGAATGAGGAGGATTATTACGCCTGATACTACCCCGTGGGGATGTTTTGACAATGAGATGAAAACAAAATGATGTGAAGAGGCATTAGGCAACCACCACCAGCAGAGTTTCTCAAGTGTGCAGAGTACAGCTCGGAACAATAATATTGTCGGGATTCCTCCCACTTCTCTGGTCTCTCACCCGCAGAGCTGTTTTCCCCGAAGGAGTGACAGCTTGATGATTCTGACATTTAACCAGCAGAGAGAGATTCTCCTCTCATTTCTTCCAAACTTTCCTTTTACTCATTTCAGTTGCTGGATGAATGACCTTAATCATAAAACAAAACCCTGTGTTTACCCTCCCTGATAAACATCCTCCCATGTGGGCAATAAAGAGCTGATGCAGGGACTGCAGGGTTGGATATTTGGCAAACACGATCTCTTTTAAGCACCTGGGACATTGCTTACTCAGGAATCCTTGCAGACGCTGCCCTTGGCGCACTACCCAATCTCCTTTAGCCCTCCTCTTTCTCTCAGTTTCCTAAGGATAGGAATAGCAGTCACTTGACAGACACACTCTTTGCCCAACTTACTGGCAACGCATGTCCTCATGGCCTGTATTTTATCCTCCTGCTCTTGGAATGAGACATGACAGAAGATATGCCTAGACCAAGGGCCAGCAAACTCTTTTTCTGTAAAGGGACAGCTAGTAAATACTTTAGACCTTATAGCAGGGGTCCTCAAACTTTTTAAACAGGGGGCCAGTTCACTGTCCCTCAGACGGTTGGAGGGCCAGACTGCAGGCCCTTGGGACGAGTCAGCTGCTAAGTAGGACAGGCAGTGGCAGCAAAAACACGCTGTGGGCTGGATAAATGTCCTAGGCGGGCTGTTAGGGAGTCAGCTAGATTTATCCTGGAGGCCATGGTTTGCTGGCCACTGGCTTAACTGATGGAGAATCATCATG